GTTCTTTATCAGCACAGACCGTGTCAAAACTCCAAAAATACAGTTTTTTCACAGACATAAATGTCGAATCAAGGTAATTTATTTACTGCCAACCTATATAATTGTTGCTGCTAAAACGGGAGTTAACCTTGATTGAAGTTTAAAATCATAAAAGTGCCGATTTCTCGGTGTTCGATTTCTGGCAATTGCCGTTGACCTAATTTTAAATGGCGTTTCAGTGAGTAGCGCTACGATGTCGCCGTTTGGCTTTCCGTACTCTCGAATATGTTGGCTTCGTATCCGTATTTACATTTTTGCGAAATTCTATCGCGTATTTTCACAAACCTCGCGCAAACCACCGGTATACACTAACTTCAACACCAAAAAACGTGCTTGAAATTTTCCATTTTCGGAGAGGAAAAAAAAACTTAATTTAAAAAATAGAAATACGGATTTAAACTTCATGACCTTTGCTTCAAAACAGTGTAAAGTTTTTGGCCGCATGCATGACCGTAGAGTTGACATTTAAAAATGTATTCACGTTAGTTAATTATCAGCCGCGCCGATTTTCAGAATCACGTGACGCTAAAACAAACACAGTGTTCACAAAATATTAATAATAGAAAAGTACAAGTCAAGGGCTTTCCAAACATATATAGATTGTATAGGTTCTTGTAAAATTTACTCCGATTATAGATGTTTACATTTTCCATGCCAAAAAACTATCTCGCTACCTTAACCCAATACTAGTTTGAGGGAATCAAACAGGCAACCTTTCATGATGCAATGAGAACATGCAAACCACTTTACTACACATTTTAGCAGAGATTATCAAACCCACGAGATGAACACGGTACATACCACACAGCACAAAATAGAATTCAGATTGAATCAGTCAGTTTGGTTACAAAAAATGCTTCCCCAACAATTAAGGAATTCTGCGGGCAAACTGGTGTATACCAATGAAAAAAAGAAAAGTAACTTACTTTGTACATACAGTTATCTTTTTTGATGAATATCACAGTGGCTTTGCATGAAAAGTAGTCCGGCTGTTAGGAAAGGTGACATAATGTTAGTTTCATCATAGTTTACGATTTAATAAACAGGAAAAGTAGTACAAACGTCATGAAGGGTATTTTGACTTGGCAGTGATGTCAGCACAGACTGCACAAAAATATGTTGGAAGGGAAAAAAATGACTTAAAGCAAAGGAAGAATCATACCTTTTCTCCACTTCCCAGACCTTGTTTTTTGACTTCAATAAAGTTTTTCCAATTTGTACCTCCACCACCTCCAGTTCTTTGCTCAGAGATTGACGTAATTGTTTTACAATTTCCTTCACCATCATACCTAACAAATACAAGAGAAACAAATTTAATATTTTACTTGAAGCAATAATGAAACTGTAATCAAAATGCATGAAAGAAAACACACTCCCACTTACCGTGATCTGAGATTGACACTACGTTCTGGGAAATTCCCTTCCCCAAATTTATTTATTTGCCTGAATTTTCACAATTTATTTTGTGATTAAGCATAGACCAGTGGATGGTGTGAGTGGGTCTAAGGTATACAAAACCTTCTCGGGTCCGATATATCACACAGACAACTTGTACGTCATGAAATGTTGCCCAAGATGCAGGACAATTGCTGAAGGTTCTTGTTCTCACAATCCAGAATCGTGTTAGCTATATAGAAATTCACAGTCAATACTAAATTGAATTAATAGTTGTTCAGCAGAACACGAATCTATCAAAGTTGATATTCCATACTGATCCCTTGGTCTT